CCAAATAAGTTCATCCGCCGCGCAACCAGTACGCAGTGGTATCAACGCAACGTCGACGTGCACAGCGATTGCAGACTCCCGACGATTCACGAATATTTTAAAGACCTGACCAAACGGTTTCTCGATAGAGCCGAACATCATCCCAACCCTCTGGTGGTCAGCGCAGCAAATTACCAACCCGACACAACCGCGAACGTCAACAAGGGGCGCCCGCGAAACGTCCTCATCTTCGTCGACTTAGAAACGATGGACCCATCTCTGGGGGTCCCGCCGGATAACACTACACCCACAGTTAATGCAACAACAAACACACTAGTTCGCCCTCGCCTCCGAGCACGGAGAGCCCAACACAACGCGTACACAAGGTACACCCGCGTTCCGGGGCGGTTCTCACCGCTCCCAGCCACCGATTACCTAAATGTACAGTCGACGGCCATCGGGTTTGCGGTCCGAACCGCGACCTCGATGGCCTTTAGATGACACACCATACTTAAACGCACACATGAGCACATGCGTGGCTCTACCCACAGCGGAGGGCCCAAGCCCGTGGGTTCTGGCTAGCCCACCGGTTCTGCGTCAGATGAAGCTTTAATAGTCTTGGGGTTGAAAGTAAAAACATCAGTTAATACAAGATACAAGAAGGAGCTCATGCTTCGAGGGCAAATCAATTATGATTAATTTAATTTAATTGTTTACTTCCGCCCTACCTGTAATCAATGCTGCCCTACCTCAAATTCAACTCTAGCTACAGCCCTGTTGTCGCGATGGTAACGACACGCTGTATGTACGAAATAACAAACACCTTTTTACAAAAAAACATACCACATCGTGTCGGGACCGGGGTGATGCGCCGGAAATGAAAAAGCTATGTTGTTCTCCTGAGTCAGTGTGTTATATGCCCGTGGACCTCTTTCTGTTAAAGCCACCGGGCTAATAGCAAACAACAAGTCAACAAAAAAATCGTCCTTGCCACCGTGAGGGCGGGATGCATATGCATTTTCCCCACATGACCACATGAGCCAAAAAAAAAGGGTAGCCAATCGGTAATTAACAAGTTTGTTATGAATTTCTGATAAATTAGATCAAAATTAAAAAGGACAATCTCGGAAGAAGTGGTATTTATTGAAATTGTTTGTTATTGACCTACTGAGTAACTATTACGGGAATTGAAAAGTAATTAAAATTTCTTTGTTGAACTCACCGTTATTTTGTGTGTTAGACACGGTCAGGGATGTTTTTACAGCATTCAAGCTTGGTTGACATTTGGCAAGGAATTTTGGTTCCTTATGAATGTCAGAGACGACGCTCAGTCCTCGACGTATATATTTCCCCACTTTGGACTCGATATGTAGCCAATCTTTTGCGATGAATTATAACCAGAGATGATAAATGGATGCATTACAATAAAAACAACACCGCGATCATCACGAACAATAATTTCATAACATTTTTTTAAATTATTTCATGGTCATTCCTTCGGTTGAACAATAAAGAAGTTCCTTATGTGACGACTTTTTTCTTAAATCATAATTATATTATAAACGGCTGCAACTAGACCATTAAACCGTCACAAAAACAGCGTATGTGAACGAGTGATTGTAATATGAGCTCATAATAAAACGATGTTTTGGTTTATAACAAAATGAATTCTCCAACATGATAAAACGAATGCTCACGCTGCAAAAATAATACAGGAAAAAAAACGGGGTGCTTGAATTGGAACTTTTACCTCATCCACCTTATTTGCCAAATCTCGGGCTGTCAGATTATTAAGACTAAGGGTCTGTTTCACAATGTCCAAATAAAGTCCCGAATAAGCTACTTGCCACTTATCTGACGAATAAAGTCATCGTTGGCGTTTCACAATCTTCTGTTAAGCGTATCTGGCAAATAAAGTTCGAAGTAAATTATAGGTTAGATCATCTGTCAGATAAGGAATTTATTTGATGGTTTGCTACTTGACAGATCATTTTCAAGAAGGAATTAGTATATGTATTTCGTATGTTGTGAAATAGAAAAAACCGTTTAAAACTTTTAAGTTAAACGGTTTCTGTTTTTTTTTGTGCACTGAAAACTACAATATTGTATTGTCATCTAAATTAAATGTGTGTACCAAATTTCAGATCAATCTGACAACGGGAAGGAGCTTAAATTTCAATTTCTAATTTTGATCCAATAAACAAATAAATTCCGTACGTGTCGAGCTAAATAAAACCGTTTAAAAATATTAAAAATGTATTTATTTAATGCCTTGGACGACGAATTAGGTGATTTTATCGTTTATCGGAGCCACACAGAGATCCTGTGTTTCGACGACGATCTAATCACATGGAGACATTTGATGGTGAGAAATTTAGAGTTCGATTTCGATTTAATGAAGATACTGTTTATTATCTCCATTCACTTATTGAGGACAAAATTTCTTCTAGTACAGAAAGATAATTATGTGTTTTATTTTTTATAAATAACGTATGTAGTGAAATGTCTATCTACAATGTTGTTTCTAATAGGTACTTGAATAATCATTGTTTCGGGCTATATCATCTATGGATTGAATTATGCAACTGGAAGTTTTCCGAACGTATTTAGTGATTTTACTGGAGTGAGTAAGGCATCAGCTTGTTGAATTGTGAATGTGGTGTCATAAGCAATCGCACGATATTGAACCGTGTCCGAACAGTTTGTTAAGTTCCCAGAAAATGTTACTGAATTATAAGGAGACTTTTATGTCTCCTTATATTTCAGTTATATAGATAGCTAGATTTCCAAGGCTTATTGGTGCCATTCATTGTACCCACGTCCCAATAAAATCTACAGGTGGAGACAATGCAGAAAGCTATCAAAACAGAAAACGCCAACTCTCGTTGAATGTTCAAATAGTTGGTTCAGATTTGAAAATAATGGACATAGTGGCTAGATGGCCTGAAGCCACATACGACCAAACAATATTTAAAAATTCGTTTATAAAACAAATATTTTTGAACAGAGAATTTGGTAATAGTGTATTTGTTGGTGATAAAGGTTAAGAAAATACATTATATCTATTGACTCCACTTCAAAATACTATTACACCAACAGAACATCTCTATAACGAATAAGAAGTAGGAATCTTCTTGAGCGGACTTACGCTGTTTGTAAAAATAGGTTTCGTATATTAGCAAAAAAGATAATATACATTCGTCTCGTGTACAGTCTGTAATTGTAGCATGTGTGATGTTGCACAATATTGCAATTAATCTAAAAAATGTTTTTGTATCCTTATAATTGTTTAAGAGTATATATTTCAGGTATATAAATACGGAACACAAAATAATGCAAAAAATAATTCAAAAAATGCATTATGAATACTTTCAAGAGTGATTAAATTAAAAAAAATGTTGTATGTTCTCACATTTCCCGTAAATCGAAACGCCAAAATGCGACGTTGCCATCTCTATCTTACAAGTAACAAACTGACACATAAACTTAATGGTAAGACGTTTGTGAAACGCAAACTATTTTAACAGGAAGTTTTATGTGGCAGTTAATTTATTTGTCAGTTAGTTATCCAACACTTTATTCAGATATTGTGAAACAGACCCTTATAAAATCAATGTTGGACACGTAAAAAAGATACTTTTATCCAAATTGAACCAAACAGCAGTCTTAATGCTCGCAAAAAGTGTGAGAAAATGTTGAAAATTATTTTAAGATAATTTTTTCGCCGAAAAACTGTACTTCAAAACTCGGAATTAAATCTACAGGTTAGGTAGTTTAGAACAGGAAATAAAGAAAAAGCTTCAGGTACACTAGGAAAGGATTGCCATAAAAAATCGTATTGGTATAAAAATCAAAAGTTTTAATGGTATTTTCTGAATCGCACCAAGCTTTCATTTACTTTTTAGTATACAGAATGATTTTTTTTTGTATAAACTATAATACATTACAGTGTTATGCTTCATGAAATCATGATGACACAAACATCAATTTGCCTTAAAACAGGTTTAAAATTTAATTTTGTCTGACTCAATGCTCATTAATTATTACTTTTAATGGCACATACAGTTTTTTAAACAATCCATACAATCGTTCAACTTAAGCATTACTAGAGAAACAGCAATCTTGAAAATGAAGGAAATATTAAGGTGATGCAATTAAATAACATTAATATGAATTTGAGTTCTACTGTCATGAATATTTATTTGAACTATTTGCAAATAAACACTATGTTGAAGTCAGACAAAATGTATTTGACAATATAATAATATCACATATTTTTAAATGCATTAAAACGAAATGTCAACTGCTTTAAGTTACAGAAATTATTTTTTAATAGTAACAAGAACACATGGAAGAGTAAGTGTAAATAAATAAATGGAACTCCACTGGTACAATCGAAAAACCATTGTGAGATTTTTAACGGAAGTATAAAATGAACTCCCGATACGATAATAATTTATGGGTTTTTTTCCTTTGTATGACGTTAAATAAACCAATTCTATATTTTAACACTAAATTACCAGCTAATATTTACATTTTATTTATAAGTATATATAAATATGTATAATTATATCGATAGCGATTCCGATAATCCTATCCTATCCTTCACATATTCAGCAATTTAATGTATAATTAACTAATAATGGTCACAATAACAACTCGATAGATATTCTCAGTAAATAAACAAGCAGTAGTGTACAGGCTGGCAGCGACGAGCGCCCAGCGTCCTCGTCCTATATTGCACAATTGAGAAAGCGTGCGCTCGTTGCGCCCCCCCTCCGCCCCCGCGACCCTCACTCAACTACGACAAGATTTAATATTACACTAAAAATTAATGTGTCGAGACGGGCGGCCCACGAGACTAGCGACCGTCGTTCTGCAAGCGACGTCATTACAATAAATAATTCTCTAAACGGATAATGTGAAACGATATACATTTAATAAAGTCGTACTGTCACTTGGGGGATATCGTTCACGCTACTGTATGTACATCAGTTGCGGGCGTCGTCGGGTCGTTATCATCGCGGCTCCTCCTTCTTGAGCAGGTCGAGGGGAGCGAGGGGCGCCAGCGGCGGGGCGAGCGGCGCCAGCGGGGCGAGCGGCCCGTGCGCTCCCAGCGGCAGCGAGCCGTGCGCGCCGTGCGGCCCGTGCGTAGAGTGGCCGTGCGGGTGCGGGTGCGACACGTGCGCGGAGTGCAGCCCGCGGTGCAGCAGCGGCCCCGACTTCAGCTGCTGGTGGTGCGCGTAGGCGCTCAGCATCTTCGCGCGGTCCTCCTCGGCGCGGATGGCCGCCTCCACTAGTGGCGCGAACCTCATGTGCTGCAGTGGGTCGAATGTACGGTACGGGTCCCAGGGCGGCGGCGGGGGGTATGCCGGCATCGGGGGCGGCGGTCGCGGGGGCTCTTTGCGTTCGTCCTTCGAGGGTTCGGGCACGCCGTTTCGGAGAGGTGATCGCGTGCGTGCCCGTTCCATTTCGCGCTCTCGCGCCTTGCGCCGCTCGCGCTCCTCCCTCTCTCTCCTTTCGCGCTCCTCCCTCTCGCGCCGCGCCCGCTCTCTCTCCTCGTGTTCGCGGCGCACTTCGGCGGCGGCCGAGACGGGTGGGCGTACGCCTCGCCACGCGTCGTGCAACGCACCCAAAGGCGGTGCGTGGTGCACGCCGTGCAACGACGACGACAGTGCCAGGTCGCGGCCGTACGGCGAAAGGCCGAAAGCGGTCGGCGCCCCCGGGAAGGCGCCGGCGCCGTACCGCGCGAACGGTGACACCCCTGAAACGCCCAAATCTCTATGAGTGGCGAGGGCGAGAGGCGCGAGGGAGGAGCGGGCGCTGTATCGGCTGCTACCTAAGTGCGGGTGGTGTGGCAGGTAGGGCGAGGGCGGCAGCTCGTAGGGCGAGCGGTACGCGGGCGGCGGCGGCGCGGGAGCGGGGAACGCCCGCAGCTTGTCCTTGTCAGCGCCGCCGACCGCTAAACTACCGCCGCCGCCGCCCGACTTCTCTTTCTGTTGATGATTGTAGATTTCCCAAGCGATGCGAACGTGCATCGCATTCCATCTACCGGTTTTCTATAAAAATTAAAAATAAACATGATTAAAAGGTGCGTTTTTCTAAAGCAAATTTGATAATCTCTTTTAGAATGGACAAACGTTTTAAGTGCAAAAATTATTAAACTTCATATGCATGCAGGGTGAAAGTAATTGGTAAAGATAGGAAACCTACCGCGACAGCGGGACGTGGTGGTGGTTTAGTGGCGGAGTCACTTGCGGCCGACACTACGGGCTGTTAACATGATGCGAGGCAGTGTTAATGATGACAGAGCAAAATAAATTACAAGCACTAAGCTTGAAGTAAAGAGATATAATTAAGAAGGTAATATGAACTATCACATATAATATTTACAACTAAGTACATAAAACATTACCACTAACAAACTTAAGAAATTATAAAAAGGAATAGAAATAATAAGTTAAAATATATTTTATAGTGTTTAATCACAAGTAATAAAATTTACATGTTTTCTCTGTTCTAAGAAGAAGTTTGGGTGGCAAATAGTTTATACAAAGTAATAAGGTAAATCATTTAAAATTTTATTCTAAAATTATAAAATAAATATGTTACAAAAGAGACATCCGCATTTATATGCATTAATTACTAGTTAAAATCATGTGTTAGAGAATGAAAAAAAAAAACGCTGGACATAAATTATACCAGGCCCAGTGTAAATACCATGTCTTCTAGTGACATAATAAATAAAGCACTTACTCCAAAGCATTTTGTAAAGAAAGACCAGGGGGATTATTACAGTGATACATAAGTATGATCTCACCTTAGGTGCGTAGGTGGTGAGAGGCGCAGGTGGTACATAAGGCGCTGTTGGATGTAATAAACTCGAAGAATATGGATATCCAAGACCGAGGCCCGTTCTGTACAGGGATGACATTTTTCCCATATCTTTGAACTGAAATGAAAATTTTATGAATGAGAATATTTTAAAGTGTACATATATACCTTATTTAATGTTATTTCTGTAGTTATGTATACATTTAATATGAAAATATTTTATTGCAATAACAGAAAGTAAAGTAACAGCCTATACATGTCCCACTGCTGGGCTAAGGCCGCCTCTATAGAAAGGGTATCAGGCATATATCATAGTCCACCATGCGGCCCCACTGGCGGACTACACATAACTTCCAAATATTTTATTTTCTTATGATTTCGAAAATATGCAGGTTTCCTAACGATGTTTTCCCCACCGCTGAGCACATTATGAGTCTGCCGTTAAAATAAGCCTTTCATGCCGGCACAGGGGATTGAACTCAGGTTGTTCAGATATATTGGTTTAAGGCGAGTGTCCGAACACTGGGTTATCATATGACATGTAATAATATGTATAACATAATAATTACTTAAATCTCAATGTAACACCTTGCAGTTAACATTTTAAGCTTGTTTGAACCGTATAATATAGGTTTTGATTTCAAGTTGTTGTAATAAATGACTTTTGTTTATGCATAAAAACTTAGGATATAGTGTCAATATTTTTAATTGCACTTTCTGATTGATTAGTTAAACCAATTACATTTTCATCTTTTTTTAGGTTGTAAACCTTCCAAACACAAGGTTAAAATAAACAGTAATTCACATGTGGTATAGAGAGTTTTTGGCGAGAATATCAGTGAGATTTAAAATCTCTACATAGTGAACATTGAAATGGGCTGTTATTTGACTACACGAGTGGAAGTGAGACTACATCTAATCTTCTGCATCGCAGTCGTCGTTGGGACTTCCTACGCAACCCCTTGCACCATGGCAAGCATTTAAGCAAGCATGGGACCCGTAGCAAATTCTTTCAAACACCCCTTGATTTGCTATGTATGGGTTCTTAAGTACAAATTGGTAAAAAAAAAACATTGAATACTTATTTAATAAGTTTCACTCAAAAAATTAAGGCGAGATATTAAGGATTTAAAATTAAGGAGATATGAGTGGGTTTATGCGATGCCATGATATGCGGGGCCGTGGGTTATACCGGCACTGCCTTCCACACAAATCGTAATCAAACGAGAGTGGTAGTGGTAGTGGTGGTGGTGGTGGCTGCGCGTGTACTGACCAGCGGCGCTTGGGGCACCAGCAGCTGGTGGGGGTGGTGCGGCGCGTGCTGCGCGGGCGGCGCGTGCGCGGCGTGCGTGCTGTGCGTCGCGTGCGGCGGGTGCTGGTGCACGTGCGTGTGCTGGTGCTGGTGGTGGTGCAGCTCGGTTCGCACGGCCAGCGACCCCACCGAGCCGACGCCCACCGCGCCCGCCGCCGCCAGGAACCGGTTGTCGAGCTCGCGCCGCAGCAGGTCCGCACCTGGACCTAATGGCAAGTCAGAGTTTTTATTCTTCATTCATTGTGACTTTCACACAACACTTCGTGTGCATTGGCAGAGTTAATGCTTAAGCCATAGCCTAGTTTTACACAGCAGGACGACACTTTGTTAAAATGCATTGCTAGAAAATCTGGATAAGGAAGGGTGCATCAGCAAATCGGTGTCTTAATAGTTAAGTGTTTGAATGGAATACAAAATAAATATCCTATTAATCTCTTTCGGTCAATCACAAATATTATAACAAATTTAAAATTTATTAATTAATTTTTGTGAAACCATAAAAACTTAGAATACATGCTTTTGTGTATTCTTCTTCTTCTTCTTTACGTGTGTAACAAATCATATCTTTCCAGCCCAGAACTTAGCCACATCGACAGCACAATTTGTGGCATCCATCAGATCCTGCTGCGAACAGGTGAAAGGGCAGGCAGGACAGGACATCAGATGGGCCATGGACTGCACTGCTCCACACATACAGTCCAGGTCTGAGTTTTCTGAGAGTCCCCACCTGAACATATTTTCCTTGTTTCGGCCGGAAGACTCTCAGAAAGCAAGACAAAGGGATCCGGAAGCAGAGTTTGAGCACGCTATATGCTGCATCTCGCTTGAGAAGGCTCGGTTGTGAGGGGGTCGACAAATTTAAAAACTTTTTCGACTTTTCAGCCTTTGTGGTGGGAGCTCATGCCCATGTAGGGGGTGTCGCTGCACATGCTGCATCTCGCTTGAGAGGGCTCGGTTGTGAGGGGGTCGACAAATTTAAAAAAACTTTTTCGACTTTTCAGCCTTTGTGGTGGGAGCTCATGCCCATGTAGGGGGTTTCGCCTGGATGTCGCTTATCTTCGTCCGCCTTAGCCCTCTCTAGCGAGTTTGCTACGGCTCTGTGTACAACTGGCGGTTCTATGCCAGCCAGTGGATACAGCAATTTCACCAGGGTTGGCTTCAAGCCCGGTGTGTGTATTTAATTTCCTTGACATACAGCAGAAACTAACATCAACTTTACAATAAGTTCTTATATAGAAAATTAAAAAGTAGGCACTTACTTGATTGAAAAAGTGATTCAGCAGAAAAGGGATTTGGATTAGGCGGCGCAAGTGGTGGTCCAAAAAGCGGCGGCGCTGGTGGATAGGCAGAACGATCTGCCGCCGTTGGCCTGCTGGAAAGTAAAACAATTTTATAACAGCATTGTCCCTAAAACTTTTATGGACCCGTAATAAAGTCAGCTTTAGTTAATTATTTAATAGATTCCAAAGTTATTCTATTTGCTTAGTGTACCTACTGTCTACGTTTCGGCCCTAACATAGCTGTTCATATTTAGAATATTATCCCTCCCTATACTGAAATTTAAAGTCTCGACCAGAAATTACACTATTAACAATTTGTTTGTTAGTTAACCATCCAGAATCACAGTAATTTTTTTGCTTGACTCTTGTAAATATTAAATGAATGAATAGTGTGATTTGTTGGTAATTAAATTTATTTACAGCTATGCTACACTTAACCATTATGTTTATGATAAGAGAATTAGAGAGTCAGAGTTTTGTTCTAATGCAATCCTCGTGAAGCTAGAATGAGGAGCCCATAGGTAGACACCTTAATTTAACAAATAAATGATCATTTAGTTACATATTTACTATGTATATGTGATGATCAATCTTTTAAGCCCAATCTCGATTACAAGATTATGTTCAGCCCCAGATAAAGCGCGATTAGCAAAGTCCATATCTATTGCAGTTATAATTTGTATATGTACTTGTACGTCAATCAGATCAGGTATACTAGCTAAAGAAGCAATGGAAAGAACGCAGACAAACTAAGAAACTTTCGCGCCCTGAGGAAACCGCCGCTTTTGCACATTTGGTCTGGACGCGAAACCGGAAGACGCAGGTTCGAATCGCGAAAAAATCGCAATTTAAAGTACAATTAAACCATATCAGAGGGCCGGAGTACTCACGTTACCCCCCAGTGGGCGGGCGGCTTTGCGCTGGAGCTGATGCTGGGCACGGTGGGCACAGGTGCCAGCGAGTGCGTGAGGTGAGCGGGCGGCGCGGCCGGCGTGGGCGTCGGCGCCGCCAACGGGGTAGTAAGCGCCCCGCCCAGGCCCGCGCTCAGCCCCGCACCGAGGGACGACTGGAACAGTTTCAATAATACTATAACTTGATGACTCCGTGGCGCAGTTGCCAAGGTATTGGCTCCGGCGGCGGGGGTCGCGAGTTCGATTGCCACACGGGACAACTGTTTGTGTGACCCACATATAAATGTTTCGGATGTGGGTGTTTGTCCAGGTGAAGTTTTGTATGTAAAACGTCCTTACAACACAGGAAAATGTTATCTTACAGTACAGTAAGCGCAACGTTTTTTGAACCAACAAAAAACAAATCTTACTTACTTCTTGTAAAGAAATAAATCAAAATCAGCGAAAGTTTTGCGACACACTGTAAAGATTCATCTTAAATGCCGTGACCGGCTGTTTTAATCCCAAAGGCGCCATATAAAATTTTTAAATATTCGTTGTAAAAATGTAATTTGAGAAAGTGTATTGCTGTAGAATTATAATTAGATAACGCCAAGCATTGCAAAAGATGCAATAACAAAACAGAAGACGAACTCGATAAGACAGGGATTTTCGCGCAGTCGACAACCTGACCTGGTAACTTAGTGGCTAGAGCGTCTAGACGTGTAAACCGAAGGCCTATTTTCGAATCCTAGAAGCGCCGAAAAATTTTGCGACAGCTTGCAGTAGTAGATAACACATTTTAAATTTATAAATCAAATCGCACAGCGGTTTGTACTCTACATTGTCTAGATACTTTTACTGAAGTGAAGCCAAACAGTACCTGGAGATAGACGAATATCTACCTTCTTACAGGCCATGGTAACAATCAGTTCACATATTATTAATAAAGAAATACTTCAATTTAGAAGTATTTGTACTTTGCATTTGGTATTACAAATTGACATTCCCAAATAATCCCAAATTAAAACATCTTTATTAGTTTTTTGATATAAAGAAAGTTGTAATGAACCATGTTGGGGTAAACATAGATAATTCTATTTATATTATTGTATAGCTCATTATATTCAAAATTCAACACATGGTAGCAGCCTATGAAAGGTTCATTGTACATTGCATCTTGATAAAAAAAGTTTATTTTACACGTTTTTAAATATTTGTTTATAAGTGAAATACTCTGTAACTCTTAACAGAACAAATAAAATTGTTATTGATTTTAATAATAATATTTAATCCATAAATATAATTTCATTATATTTTGTTTTTATAGTTAAAAATTTATTTTATATGATTATTAGTGGTAAAATTTACTTTCGTAAAATTTAATTCCGTACCATTATGTATAAAAACGGCAAAAAAATTATGTATCTTGTATGGGAGCACCACAAATTTTTTTAATGTTTCTAGTATTTGTTGTTATAGCAAAAGAAATACATCATCTGTGAAAATTTTAGACAGACAAACAGGCAGACATACATATAAACAGGCACACAGCGAAATCTTAGTAATCGGTTTCCGTTTTACCCTTTGGGTTAGGAACCCTAAAAACGCATAGAAGAATAAGCACATTAGAATTGTTTACCGTGAGTGGTGCTGCCAACGGGGCGGCGAGCGGAGCCGCTAGTGGGGCAGCGAGCGGAGCGGCGAGCGGTGCTGCGAGCGGAGCGGCGAGCGGCGCGACGAGCGGTGCGGCTAGAGGCGCGCTCAAAGACACCGGCGCACTCGCACCTGACGCGGGCGTGCTTCGCGACAAGCTACTGATGTTGCTGCTGAAAGTAATTGGTTGTATGTAATGTTTACCACTATCTCGAAAACATACAAAAGCAGGCACGAAACGCGGTCAAATTTTAATACAGAGTTAGATGACAGTACCTTATCTCTCGTGTTATAGAAGATAAAAACAAATTAATTAAATAATAAAGCAGACAACTCACCTGAAGCTTTCTCGCTCTCTCCCAGGGCTGTGGCCGCGCGGTGAGTAAGATAACGGTGCGTGCGTAGAGCCCGCTCCGCCCAATGAGCCCGGTGTATGCGGTCGCACGCCTTTCGGTGTTTTGGGGGCTACCAGCGGAGATGCTGACAAACTAGTTCTCTGTAATTAGAAGTTAAAGAATTAGCTACAAATTTATAACTTGTACAGATATAGCTGTAACAGTTTATGATAAGGGGATCGTGGTGATTTGTTTTATCTTATTGTTCGTTTTTTATGTGAAAAGTTGCCAAGAATACCGTAGCCCATGGATATCTGCTATACCCGAGGGTTCTAGATGCGTTGACAACCTTTTGAAAATTGGGCTCCGGCCACCTCATTTCACCAGACGAAACGCGAAGGTATTTCCACTTTACGCCGGTTTTCTGTCAGGTCGTGGTACTTACCCGGACGAGCTTGCCCATTCGTGCAACAGGCGAGGCTGCTGCGTGGCACTACCACCGTGTTCGAAACCTAATTGAACCTAATCCTAATGTCTCAACCAATAAAAAAGACTTTTTTTATGTGAGAAGGTGGCGGCTCACCTGATGTTAAGCGATAACCTTCTGTTTGTAGATGCTCTGCCACATCTTATAAAGTGGACCCCAACTACCTCACCAGACAAATCACAAAAGTATAATAGTTCTAATAGGTCGTGGCACTTTCCCAGAAGGACCTGCCCATTAGTACTGCAGCGTAGACTGTTGCGTTGCCCTACCACAGTTAATACTAAATACCGACCTAAATAATATAATTATTAGTGCTAGTCTCAGCATTTAGTATTAAAGTTAACATGACACTCCGTTGACAAAACTCACCGTGTCTGCCGTATTCCTTGGTGACGCTGCCGCTGGTGGTAGGTAGGGACTGTGTTGCAGTGTGGTCGCATAAGGAGCGTAAAGGGGCGGGTATGAATTTCCGGAGTAGACAGCAGGCGGCGGGAACCCGTTGGAAGCGAGGGAACTGCTGATGATAGGGCCTTCGCTGCGAGGCGGCAGTTCGTTTGACGAAACCACCGCCTGTCTAGATTCCACAACCGATGGCGCTAATGGATGACTGTTGTGGCTCGAAACAGAGGTCACTATTGATGGTGCGGTGGTCACCGTTGGCGCGTCCACGTGGTTCATGGGTTGCATCATGGAGACTGGTGGCGGCAACGGCGCCGAATGCGGAGGTAAACTGAGCCCGGGATGTTTCTGGCTCGCGTAACTGGACATTGTACTGGTTGTTGTAGAGGACAAAGAGAGTGGTGAGCCGATATGGTTTGACGCGGAAGTAGGTAGGGGATTCGAGTTGCTCATTGGAATACTACTTGGGTGGCTCATAATGGAATGGCTGTTGATCGAATGGCTCAGATGAGTAGCCATATTGTGTTGGTTGGGTGTCGACGTTTGTATGTGGTTAGAAGAGATGTGGTTCGCTACGCTGAACGTCGAAAGGTGCGGGGGTCGATTCGAATATGCCGACTGAACGGAATGTTTCTGTAAACTCGTTTGACTGTGGTAGGGTATCGAATGGCCGTGAATACTGGAACTTAAACTCGAGTTTACATGACTAGACCCGATAGCCGGGGCGGGGTACGGCCGTGAAGTGGGTGCGGCCGGCGAGTGCGGCCGTCCGGGCGTATTTTGGTTAGGAAGACAGGTGGAGTTGGTGGCAGGAGTGGTGGGAGGCGCCGTTTGGGGCGGACCGCGGTTGGGGAACGAGGTAGGAACGGATGGATGGGGTTGGGAGGCGGGCGGGGGGTTCCGGACGTCGTGGCCGGGCATGACGGGGTGCGCTTGCGCGTGTGGCACTCGGCCGGGCAGGCCGGGCAGGCCGGCGTGCGGGTGTGGGTGTGGGTGTGCGTGCGCGTGCGCGTGAGCGTGTGGCGACGGCGGCTCGTGCTGCGGGCGCGGCGCGTGGTGCGCGTGCAGGTCGAGCGGCGCGCCGGCCGGCTCGCCGGCGTCCGTCCGCGTCTCGTGGTTCGTGTGGCGGTAGTCGGGCAGTGCGGCGGTCGCGTGCGCCTGGTACGCAGTGTGCGAGGGGAACAGCGGCGAGGGGGCGGGCGGCGCGGGCGGCGCCGGTGTGGGGCTGTCGGCGGCGGCGCGGGCGCCAGGCTGCAGCTTGTTGTTGCTGGCGGGCCGCTCGGGGGTGTCGGGGCCGGCGGCGCCCACGGGCCGCGAAGGTATCTGCGTGGCGGCGTGGCCGTCGAGGGCGGGTATGTGCGCGCCGTTGGGCCGATGCGGCGTGTCTGCGCGGAAGGGCGGCGGCGGAAGCGCGGGCGGCGGCAGGGCGGCGGGCGCGGGTGAGGGCGCCGGTTGTGGCAGGGGCGCGGGCGCGGGGCTCGCGCTGCCACCGACCGGCGCCCGGGACAGTGCCAGCGCCCCGCCGCTGCCACCGCGCGCCACTAGCTCGTTCTTGCCGCCGCCGCCCGCGCCCGTCACCCGGAACAGGGAGCCAGCGTCCGACGCCTGAAAATATTTATATTAAACTATCATTTATGTACTTTTTCACAAAAAAATTCGAGTCATTGAACCATCACTCAATGAATATCTGATCAATTGATCTGTTTGAGGTTCGGGCGTTACGAGGAAAAAGGCCAGAATACAAGGAAAAACACGTAAGTTGCAAAATTCATTTGCATGATAACTTTGCATAACATCGTCTTGAATAGGTCGTGATTTAAAAAAAAATGCAAAGTAGGGGTATTTTACCACACCCATTTCACGAATTATCAGAAGTATTACCAGTAATACTTCTGATAATTCGTTGTTACAACGAAAGCAGCATGATTTGGCGTGTCTACGGTACAGTTCTTTCGAAGAAATCGAAAAATCGAATTTGAAAATTACCAGAAGCGGGAAAATGGATGAGCCAATTAATATTGTTTGAAGTATATTATACTAATATACATTTTTACACTAAAAAACTGAAGGAGTTAAGTATAATCCCAATATTAATATTTTTAATTGATTGTATTGTACTACAGTGGTCCGACCTCCCTATTCATTCCTTTATCTAAATTTGCTAATTTTTGTAACAATGAAAACAATTATCCACATAATATGTACAATACACACATTGTTTTGAATAGAAAAATAACGCTTACATCGTCCATTGATGCATCGTGATATCTTGGTGAAGCATTTCTACTATTTTCCGGACTCGCCTGTAACAATAAAACCGCTATTAATATGAATGCACAAAGCAAATAGAGGCTTAGTTGTTTAGCGACGTGGACTAGTGTACATACATACAAGAGCTATATAGACGTTTTGAATAATATAGTTTTATAATCAGGCCTATGGCGGTACTGATTAATATGCGGCTGCGAGTTGAGTTGCACAAATGCGATATTGCGGCACGAGCGCGCGGCTTTGATCTGATAACTGGTGCACTTACACAGTGGGCAGCTGTGCGGGCCACATGCCCCTCCGTATTATTACGGACCTATTATTAGCTGAATGTCAATTCATTACAGGCGTAGGAGTGTATTAGTTCACTTATTGCGTAATTGTATGGCATGTATTGAAAAGTCTCACTGGCGGATACGGAATAGATAGCAAACGTTTTATTCTTATAATCTAGGGCAAAAGATATTTTTTTATAGAAAGTTAATTATTTAGGACTCAATAACATTACAGCGTGATATACAATTTTTGATGTAGATAACATATTTTTTGTAAATTAGTTTAAGAATTTTTATATAATATCTTTTATATCTTGAAAAATTTTTAACAACCATGCAAGAATAAGTAACATAGTGTAATAAAGTTTTAATCTGCAATAACATTCAAGATATTCTTTCCAAGTTTGAGTTTAACGTCTTCAACTTGTTCAAGTACAACCCCGGATAAAACAAAATAGTACTCAAATAGTTACATAAATAATTATTTCACATAATATGTATTATTATATATATTATATTTATATATATTATTACGTAAAGACAAAAATTTGTACCCCTTTTTACGAAAATTGCGCGGACGGAGCAGCATGGAACTTTTTTATACTTTATATAAAGTGCAGAATGCTAATATATTTTATAATTGCATAAAAAATACATTAAATCATGTATAATTAATTATGGTCGCATAACGACTATGTGGCGACCACTAGTATCAATAAACATATTTCTTAAATATGTAAATATATACCTAAATATTAATTAACAATTATATTAATAAAGCTGCAACACCTTCACAGTGATTTGCTAAGCAGTGAAGTAGGAATGCTTGTAACAACTTCCGGAACTTTGTTTTTAACAAGACTTTGTTTTGATGTACAAAAGAAACCTCGCATTCAAACATAATGTTATCAGAAAGTAATCAACAACACTACCACTATCTGATCGGTACGGTTTGTTGAACAATAATTATTTACTTCCTCTATTTCAATTAAAACGTGATTATCCAGCTCATTTATCAAGAAATGTTAACAGCCTGTCAATACAGGTGAAGTGATATAAATTATATTTTTTTAATTTACGACGAATATGTTTTTACGTAGCGTAAAAAACGCGGGACAGGATAAAGCCGGGTAGTATAATTGAAATATTTAATGGATTTTACTTTAGGTTAAGATAATGAAAATCCTTTCTAATATTATAAAGGCGAAAGTTTGTATGTATGGATGGATGTTTGTTACTCTTTCACGCAAATACTACTGAATGAATTTAAATGAAATTTTACAATAAAATAGCTTATAAATCAGAATAAAACATAGCCTATAATTTATATACATATTTTATGTACATCTGTCTTTCTGTCTGAATGTTACGCCTTCAGCCCATTCTACGCAGACGTAGTCGCGGACAGCAGCTAGTAAATTATACATTTTTCTTAAATCGCTTAAGAAAAACGGTTCGTATGCGTACCATTCAATTTGAAACGCGAGCGGCCAATAATAATTTTCGTTAGCCACAAAAATCCCGTCCTCAACGGGGGCCACTCGACTCGAATTATTCAATCGTCGCCACGAGAAGAAGAGAAAACGATGCACATTGCGGACAAATTGAATCGGCGACGACCATCGAGAACATCCGAGTGCGAGCGAGGGCCAATTGAAACGCTAAAGAATACGCTCGAGCGCAAGTGGCGAGAAGAGGCCCGGTCGATCGATCGGCCGCCTTAAGGGGGCCAAATCGTTCCGGGAGCGTCCCGGCAATTGAATGTTTAGTGTTATCCGGCGGGGGTGGGTCGTCGCTCCGCAACAATGGAGTGATAAATCAAGTATGGAGCGCGCGTGCCGGCGTCCGGCCACCGAGGAACGTTCACAAAGGCGCCGCCGCAGAGCTCCCTGTCGCTGTGCAGTTTGGCGTTTTTAATTCGCGCCCGAGCACGGGCTTGTTTGTGTGTTCGCCGACTTTGTGAAAAAAAAAAATAAGGTGCTATAATATTCCTCTAGTGACCTGAACGCAACGGCGGCGTAGCATCCGGTCTCGCCAAAACCACGTCTACAAACGAACCGCCACGAGTTTTTTTTAATCGTCGTAGCGCACAGATGGGCGCCAGTCCAACGTGATATGCCTTCAGTGAGATTTATTGACATGTCTCTATTAAAGAATTGAGATGTTGGCGCGTTATTAACTCGGTATCGATATCCAGTCTGGTAATTAAGGAATGCATATATAAAAATAATTTCATTACTTCCGTAAAGAAAGACCATGGGAAAAATTTTCATGCTCTTTTTCCAATCCAACATTATTGTATATTATAAAAGTCAAGCGATTCTTTGAAAGCCTGAAAGTATATAATATTTTACAAAACCTTACAAGCTTTTGGAGACAAACTAAACACAAAACAGCGCTTTAATAATAAATGCAGATGTTTTTGCTAATCGGTACATGAGAAACAAAATGTTACTTTTTAGTGCCAGATTAAAATAGCAACAGCTGTCTCTATTATATGAATACGATAAACAACTTCTTAGAGCATCGTGTTCACCCTTTAGTTTGTTTATATCCGTACTAATGTACGCCGAATTCAGAATATATGTTTGTAATTTACAGTTGTAAACGAGCGTTTTTTGAAATGAAAAAAGTGATTTCTTTTGCATGAGATGCGGATCTCCACGGGACGGCAACTGTTGATATTCAGCGTTCGCACATGACATGGTACTCATACGGCATCTGCGCTATTTTTATTACACTTTAACGCTCGGTGTGCACATAACTTTACATTTCATATCTTCAAAACGCGAAATAAAATACACATCTTAAAATATACATCTGTTTAATTGAATTACATCAGCATCCACATAGAATGAATGAATTTAATGTAGCAATGACTTTCAACCGACTATAATCAAATAGTGCTGTGTTCCACGGGTCAAGTTTTGTATTTGATGCTGTGGTGACGGATTGAAAAATGAATATTGGCCCTGTGGAAAGGATTTATAAATGTTTAGTAATGACAAGATGGTACTACTCATAATTAATCCTCTCTAATGGATTGAACTTGGCAACATTTAGAGCTCCGAGCCAATGAATATATAAAACAAATGGCCACAATGTAAATGAATGGACGCTATACATATTAATATAATTATTAGAATCACGAAATCTTAAATATGAACTATGCTTGATTTCAATGAGTTAGTCTTAATTATTCTCCTAAAAGGTGAATTGTGCAGCTCCTGTGGTAACTATTAAACAAAGTGAATTTATAATGCTTCACAACCTCAAAACCGGAACAACCACACACAAGAACGTTATGAAAGTAATTTCAGTTAAACAGTAATTTCAACAATAAAATAATAAATATCAACTAAAATAAGTATATTCATTTTATTTCCAGATATTATAAATTTTATTTACAGATTTGATTTCAACTGTCGGCATGAAATAATGAGATCGCTTTTATTGCCAATGATTCGATCGCATTGTAGATCAAGCCACGCGGAAGAAACTCACAGATACAAGGATACAACTTGTCAAACCACGTAGAAATACATTCAAGAAAAATATTGCTTCGTGACGGGGGCGATACGTCAAAACTGATCGCCAATTGAACCGTTCGTGTGTATAACACGAACATTATTTTGTCGGCATTACGTCGCGTATAATGAGCGCCAGTGAGCAAAGCCTCACCGCGTATGCGGGCAGACCGAATCGCGATTATATCACGTATAATGAGCTAATGCTAACAATATTAAAGCGTTCGACAGACGCTCAGCATTGCTTGCGGCTGAGCCACCTCCATTGTACGCCTAATACGGCCGTGCCCCAATTACCCATAGTTATACAGACGGCTGCAGATTAAACCATAACACTTGCATTTTCGTCACCTCATAGGAAAAAATGATAACTTACGATAATGTTATGTATATTACAGATTTTTATAATCCATTTCTGTAGTATATTTCTATTCTATTTCTATATTATACTACCATATAGATGATATAGTCGTTTCATATTAGTTTTTATTTTTATATTATACTAGATGTGCCCGCGACTTCGTCCGCATGGAATTTAAAATAAAAAATATTTAAAATTAAAGTTACTCCTTATATTACATCAGCTATCTGTCAGTGAAAGTCCCGTCCAAATCGGTCCAGCTATTTCAGAGATTAGCCGGAACAAACAGACAGACAGACAGACAGACAGACAAAAATTGTAAAAAATTTTATTTTGATATATGTACCTTGTATACATCCATATGCATTTAGTAAAAAGCAGTTATTTTAATATTGCAAACAGACACTACAATTTTATCTGTATAGATTACTGCACCTACCTCTGATTCCTTAATGCGGATGGCATTAAGGAATATGAGGTAGGTAGGTGTAACTTTTTTTTCATAAAGAAAGAATAAATACACACCTAACTTATTAATATGAATGCTCTGTGAACATCCAACAAACACAGGTCAGCGTCGAAACCACAAATAAGAAATTTGTCAAGACCACTGGAGTAGCAGTCCAATGTCTCATCGCATTCAAAGAGACAGCGAAATGTATTGCAATACATCACACGGCGTTGTGCGAGATTATGCTATAATTACATGAAACATAGTTGAGTTTATGACGAGCCGGCGTCGAAAGTTGGCTGCATGTCAAAACGACTTTTTACTTTAAAATAGACAATCGCGGGAAATATTGGCGTGGTGACTGATGTCGTGTCGGCATGCAATAATAGTTCCGTCGTGCCCACCTCCGGGCGAAAACACGAGGCGGGTTTAAATAAACCGGCAATAAAAATAAACGACCCCATTAGTCAGCGGTGTCAAAATAAAACTCCGCGTATTAACTCGCTCGGACTGTTGTTGATCAAGATTTTGTGTTGAGATATCGAGTTCGGAAAATTAAATTAAGTTTTGATTAATGACCAATCTTTATATTCCGCTAATATTTTAGCTTGTTTCTATAAGACTTTTGCTAAAGCGGCGTACAACACGGACAATTAATAACATTTTTCAATTATTCAGATAATGCCCGGGTCAACTCCTTAAGCCAAACGAAGTATCTCCTTACGTATCACTTCACCAAGCCTAACAGTTCCAAAACGTAACACGTTCTATATGGAAAAATTGTTGGCACGGAGATTTGAACCTGTGACCTCAGTTCGCACGTGAAACGAAAATAAAGCGAAATATAAGAAAATAATAATATGGCTACATAATAATTTAATCTTTAAATAAAAAACAAATAATAATAATATAATAATAAGTAACGAAGACAGTGAGTGATTCACGAGTAAAATTTTTTTATTAAAAAGATTTGACGTTAACACGTTGAGAGACTCGTAGACAGTGATAAAAAGTGTAACTTGTTCAGTCTCAGTGGGTTGATAAATAGTATGACAGATGCGAAGTGAAAAACGGAATATTCAAATGGTCAATAGACCTCTGAATATTCTCCCTCGGAACTCAGTTGCCGCCGTTTCGGCCCATTGTTGTGGGAGCGATGGAGACCGAAACGGGGAGTGTCGGGAAAAATGGCGCGATAGCTTCTCGCCCCCTTCATTCGAAATTCTAATACTTTCGCGAACTTTTAATAGGATAGGACTTAAAATTCAAGGAGGATTCAGAGTCGAGCGGGGTTCAGACGTTGCGCGCCGACTTTGTGATAGCGTGGGCTTGTCTATTAGGGTTTTGTTGCTTTACCCCGCTCGAAGTTACAATTGTGTCATCTTCGTGTTGTTATTACCCTTAGTAATTTTGCTATTTGCGGTCTCTGAGAAGTGAACTAGATTCTTATTGGTTTCATAATAAATATCTCCATAGTATAGACAAAAATCATCTGCTTTTCTTTTTTTAGGGTAAAATGTATGTGCTCTATCAACTTATGAAAACATATTACCTTCCTGAGCCTACAATATAAGGGCATTGATATCGTAAGATGAATAACAAGGGTAAAGACGCCGGACGACCCTTGGGCGCGTATCGGGCGAATGAATAATTCATGTTTGTGAAATTTACTATATTAGCATCAAGTATTCTTTATATATAAAGCAGTGCCTCGGACAAAGGAATGTCAATTTGAAAAGTCCAAATCAAAGTGTGTCTGGGTGATCTATTATAAAACACAGTGCGAATATAAATAATTTATAAGGATTGTTTTTGTTTAGTGAGACTAAATAAATATGTGTAAGCTTGTGATATCCTCGTGTAAAAAATACAAAATGAACACAATGAATATTTAGCACGAGAATTGTCTGTTCGTGACCTGAATTTAGTGCCGCATACAAAATTTCCTACGACGCAATGGTTCGTGCATTGTGAAGAGCTTCGAATGTCCACTAACTTAATGGAAAATGGAACGATTTGCTAAAATTTTCAGCATATTTAAATGTAAATTTTGATATTGTGCAGATTTTCAATTCATTAGAAACAATATTATATTTAGGCTAAAAATTTCAAGGTGGATAACAAAAGTCGCAATAAAAAACACCTTTTTTTTACCCTTATTAATGGAGTTATTAAGGGTAAGAAAATACACATATACTAGCTGACCCGCGCAACTTCGTCTGCGCCAATTCTACTGGGTCCATACATTTCTACCTTTAGCATAGCGCCATCTATCGGATACTTACTCAAATTTATCTTACACCGCCATCTGTTAGAAACTTATGGGACTCTTAGATTGCTCTTTGTCATCAATAACAAAATAATTTGCAATAACAAATATTGAGATAAAAATTACCCTATCTCCCAAGTTGGACCAAATTACAAATGCTTACAAAATTTGATAAAAATTGGTTCGGTAGTTTCGGAGTTTATCGCGAACGTACATCGTGACAGGAAATTTTTATATATATAGATTATGCTTCGAGGAACAATAATTTAGTTACAATCACAAATACTATTATTATTTTTGAGCGGATTATATGATAAGACGGTACAGATATACTTAGCATTGAAAAATCCAATTATGGTGGAGATTATTATACACAATACAAAAAAGAATACAAAAAATTTATCAGATTAAAACTGCTGTAATTAATATTCATAAATCTTCGATAATTATTTGTAGTACAGTTTGTATAAAGCTGCAGTTTATTTTGGAAAAATGATGAATAACAAAATAGCAGTGTGGTCTGCATTTTGTTAATAAATTTACATTTTAAAACGCGAACATATAAACTTTTAATTACATTTACAGCAGGTAAATGTAATTAAAAGTTTATATGTTCGCGTCCGAATGTATAAAAATAAATGTTTGTAATTACACGCCATGTGATACTTTTTTATCTTACCGATAAAACGAATTAATATACTAATTTATTACCGAAATTTTGTTACTTCCATATTACGGTGCGGACAAATTATGCAAGCAACAAACCTCATTTGCACATGTCCTGTGAAAATAACTCATAACATTAGCTTACTTTGTAGTACAAAAGAAGTCTGTTATACTTTCACAAGAAGTCTAGAGATACGAATATTACAATGTCCCACCACTGTTCGTTGAAACCTGCAATATTTTATTAAAAGAAATTTCTGAATGTTTAGCAGACATAATGTCTGACAAGACCTGTTAACGTCCGACCTAATTTAAGCTCACATCGTTGTCCTGATCTTGGTAATTTGGTTCATCTTATTATGTAGCTGTCAACAAGCCTGTAGAGTGCAACTATAGCAATTAGCCTATAGCAAGCATAGGACGTCGCAAGTAGAGACGGCTGTTTATTATTACTGGCCGCTATATTATACTAGAAATAATAAATGACAAGATCTGTGTGTAAGATTAATCAAGTTCCATTTTTAAATACGTATGACATTTCGCGACACTGCATCCGATGAGATAACGCCGTTTATTTAAATCAGGAGGTCATCAATATCAGATTTGGTATTAGCATTCCAAATGGAATATCGTGTGAATCTTAAATCCGTTAACATAATCGAGATACGTATTCTTACATCTATAAATTTTAACATTTTTAAATGAATAATATGTTAATTTGTTACGCAAATAAAGAGTTATGTTGACGCGAGGACGCATTCGGCTTTTTTTTGTTGGAGACTAATTATGCTCACCAGTCACATTTATGAAGGTTGATGCGCTGTAAACCGGTGGTGACCTTTAAAATTAACATATACTAATTGAAAATTGTTAATATTAAGCAATAAAATGTTAGATTATGAAGATATCAAATTATAATATTTAAGTGATAAATTTGAATTAACAAAGTCTTTGTGTTTTAATGTTGCGTCGCGTTTTGTAATACCACGCACGTATTTGCCAACTGATCAAATATGTACTACTTATATGCAATATGGAAAACGGAGTTAAGTACTAACATTATTTATTACGGAATATTTCGACAACTCAAATCAACATAGTAAAATTTATTTTTCGTTTTCTTTAACCAAAAATAATAAAAGTGACTACGAGAGTGAGATTAAATTGTCAGTTTTTTTTTTCCGCCAACAACAGACATTAGAACTGCACGTATTGCTATAAAAAAGGACGATTATACGGAAAGATATCATTTGGGCAAAACTAAGCTATAAAAATAATCCTATTATGTTCTAAAAACTTATTCAAATTCCACATTGAGCGATGGGTTTAAGTTTAATTACAAATTACCGATAAAATTGTAAGCTATTAACAATAACGACGTCGATCGCTACCCATAAATCGGAGTACGAACATTTGACCGCAATTGCAGCTGAGTAGTGACGTTCATAGCGTGTAGTATTGTTCGCTGAGAATGGCGTGACTGCCCGCAATAACAATTCTATTAATTTTTCAATGCTACTCCTAACATAAGATTAATATCGTCATGTTGTTACCCAGCATTTGAAACCCTATTATTTTTATTGTTTCCTCTTCATTTATTCCTTTTTCGATAATATCTTATTCAAAGCGTCATTATTGATTGATAAGGCATTGGTTTTAAGCCGAGATACGAAGTTCGAAAAGTTTTTTTTTTGTTAATATTAAATAGTACAACACAATCACGTATACAGTTATTTTTACGGCATGATAACTTATGCTAGGTATGCTAGGAAATTATTCACGCCTAGTTTATTTTACCTCGTTATTCGTTTCATTTTTAGGCGGTGAAGGTTTCGGCTTTTCTTTTTCCGTCTTGGAAACGCCAGAAGCGTTTTTCTCGCTCTTGTTATTTGTCACCGCTCCGTTGCCTTCGGTCTTGTGTTTGCCGCTTTTTTTCTTGCTTTCCTTTTTGCTACCTTCAGCATTGCTTTTAGGGTTATCTTTGATCCTCACTATGGCAACTTTTTGAACTTGTTCGGTGAAACTTTTCAAACACTAATAATTATATAACAGTAGATCAACACTGACACCATCAGCACCGCGGCACGTAGACACCAATGGAACACATCCTCGTGCAAATGTAGGCCACTCACACGTGCATTCTTAAAAAGTAAATAGACACTATCACAAAAATATTCACCGCATGAGATACGTCACAACTTAGCAAAATCCAAACAGATGGTCACTGCAATCCTTAAGGCACTGTAATCCAGAGAATTGCATTCGGCCGCGGCAGTGAGCGTGCCGTTGGGCGAATTAAAAATAACGAATAGATCGCGCTTAGCGCGGAGACAAAGAGGAGTTCGGTCCCCAGAGAGACGTGACGCCGCGGCAACGACCGGGGCGGGAGTGTGGCGGTCGTCGCCCTCCGCCCCCTCCCCGCCCCGCCGCGCACGCGCCGCCGCCCGCCCATCACCCAAGCCATCATGATACGCGACACATGTAAACGGATTTCTGGTTCGGGTGCCGATTCGTAAATACGCGTTCGAAAGCCTCCACGATATTATTAGGACCGGCTTATTCCCGAATGAATTTATATGTATCACTCCTTTATACAGTTTAAATTCGCCAAACTACCGTTGAGGTAATTCTTGAGGACATTCTTGTGCTCTTTTTGTTTCAAATGGATTTTATTTTTAGCACAAAGACTTAAGAACGTATTATATAATTGCGTTTAATTATGTGTTCCTACTATTATTTTTATAACTTAAATGTTCTCATAAAGACGGTTTAAAAATAACACCATCTATGTCTATAATGTATATTAAATCGAATTGGATAAGTTGCTATTTTATTTCTGCGGTGATTATTGTATTGTTATTTTATTTCTGCGGTGAACTAGTGAATTAGGTACGAAGTAAAAGCGCTGTAAAAGTTTTATAGCGGAAGCGTATACCGCGTTTGGGGGTCATGTCTTTTAAAGCTACGAAGATTATATATATTACTAGCTTTTCGCCCGCGGCTTAGCTCGCTGTGAGGCGCTTAAATAAATATTAAGAATTTTCACCCCTTTACAAACACTATGTTCTTTCTCAGGCTCTAGACGTCGTCATTTTTTGTACAAATTTCATTTAAATCGGTTCAGTAGTTTTGGTGTGAAAGCGAGATAGACAGACCGAATTACTTTCGCATTTATAATATTAGTATGGATGATGACACAACTTCTATTTCGGCGAACTTAAAAATGTGTTACGCTTTATAAATAAAAAATATATGTTGAGAACTGTATATCAAGTAATTAAATTGTTCGTCTGAATGCAAAATAAGATAAAGGAATGAGCAATTCGAAAGGTTTTATAGGCGCTCCCCTACAGAATATAATAATTCGGAATGATCTATTTGGGAATATAAAAGAACACCGAATCGAGTTCCCCATTTTAGGGGGGAGATGTTGAAGCAGCAAAAACTTTCATTACCTTTGAATAAAAGACTTTTAAGTACGCCATATTTTTTTTAACTTACTACTCTCCTAACTATATTTTACTTAGTTAACGAAAATTATAGTTATATTGTGAAATACTAAACAAATAAATTTTGATATATAATAATAAGGCCATTCTTTTGAAAGAATACTTTATACATTGAGTAACAATATAAGCGAACAATTAACTTAAAAACATTTAAATGATAATGAACGTGGGAATTACGTGAAAAATGATAATTTTTATGTAAATAGTTAATTATTTAAATAACAATGAAACGATTAAATATGACATTCATTAGTGGGATGAGAATCGGAACAGAAATAATGCAACATTAAAATAAATGAGGCAACTGTTAATTGAGGCTGCGCAGAAGTATGATAATTCAAAATCAGTTACATAAATAGAAAAGTTTTAAGTGTTGTAGCCACTGAATTCAAAACTTTTAATATTATAACCTATTAAGATGGCGCAAAAGCAAATAAATATAAATTACCAACAGTCGTATTATTTTATTACTGTACTGTTTGGTAGAGAATGAAATACGTGCATTACGTACTGTATACCGCAATACTTCAAGCTAGAGCCATGGTCATTGGTATCTCGTGATACTGTAGTCTTAAACAAACCAATTAAAATTAAAAACTTCCTTTCTTTTATAGATCAGTACGTGGATAGGAGTGATAGTGGTGAGTACTTTCAAACTTCAGTGGCAGTAAGAGATATTTATATTTTAATTTGACCATAACAGATTCTAAATAAAAAAAAAAAAAAAAAAAAAAACAATCTACCTTCCGCGGCTTCGCATTTCTTGTCTATGCATAAGAAACAATCCGGCGGCGTAGTGTCTTCGCTCGGCTTCACTTACGGCATCGATTAAGCCGGATTGAGAAAACGCACATTCCCCCCGCGAACGCCTTAAACGATGCAATAAAACGCCGCTTATCGATCCCGACCGCCCATTAATACCGTTCGGAGGCGCGAACGTTTATAATCGGAACATTGTTGCGGTTGTGGTCCCATTAGAGGCGCGGTGCTGTCCATCGACGGGCAGTGAGTCGCTCGCAACGGCGGCAAGTTGCGCAGCGACACGATTTGTTAACCGACGGCCCCCGCTTGTGGAGTGACAAAAGTAATTAACACTCACGACACACTGGAGTGTCGGTTTACGACGGTCGACCCTAGGGGCCGCCGTGGCACCGAATGCAAGGGGCGATACAGGGGCGCGCACGAAATTCGTCGTTATTTTAACGGCGGTCGCGTTTTCTTCGCTGCTTGTTGCTCCTTCCATAAGCAGACTGAAAAATTATTAAGTCTAACTACCCCAGGGCGCTGCGCTCGTTATTGATAGTAGCTAATATGTTTTAAACATGATACCGACGTTACGTTCATTTGTATACGCGATCGTAGTAGCGAAAATTTTATATAAATTTCAAACAAATTGGTTTTTCCGACCGCTCGCTTACCTTAATTTATAGAAATAAGTTTACAGACAGGAAGCTTACAAACTTTACGTTTAAAGCATCCTGTCTTTAAAACAGTTATCTGATTTGTGGAAGTGCAAGGCCCGCGTGTAACATAACTTTCATGAGCTTATAAAATATTACCAATAAAAAAAAATTCAAGAAGATAAGAAGAATAACTGTTCAATATTGATTTTCAGTAAAACAGAAAAGGAAATATTTGCTTTATAATTGAAGCCAATTCAGATTTAGTCAAACATAAATAAAGCAATGAATACTGCGGCACTTTGTGTATAAATTTCGAGTGACGACAAACAGGGGCCCCGATATGAAAGGGGGATATTGGGGAATCACATAACCATCAGCGGATTTATCTCGAACCTCATTCAATTTGCGGTGAGCGGTATTGCCGAATTGTTTTCGGGCTCGTATCATTGTGTAAACCCCAATTTGTGATAAATTCACGTTTCAATTGGTTTATTTAACATCGCGCCGTTTTAAATACTATTCGTTGTATGCATTGAATGGATAAAAGTGAAACGTGTAGAAAGTGTGCGCCGAAATTTTTGAAAGCGCCGTTTGAAAATATACGAGGACGCGAGCGACGCGACAACAAATAGATTATACGGAAAACATATTAATGAAGTCGTGACTTGAGGCTCCGTTGTCTGAATAATAATAAGAATAAGATGTAGTTTGTCTCATGCGAATAGCGACTTGTCATTAGTATACATACTAATTACATGTATATTGTACAGTACAAGTAAATTTTAAACAACATCTTCAATGGTCAGTGCATTAATAAAGGAAGTACTCTATCCCTACTTGTGTAAAAGCGATATATAATAACGAACAAAATAAGAGAATAAATCACGTAGTTCACACAGCACCATCATATCAATCGCTACTTTTGAAATATAGTATATAGCTATTGCTATAATATACTATGTTTTCGTAAGTCTTACGTCTCTAAATATTAAAGCTCTTTATTCAAAACCACTTTATCAATCGAAGAGCAAACGTAAGAGCCGTTCTGACAACTCTAAAAAGAATCACTACGAAGCGGCGGTTGAAATAAAAAAAAAAATAAAAGAAATAAAAGGACGCGCAATCTTGAAAAATAAGCAGCACGGCCGCGTGTTAATATTTGCTTTTAGCGACAGCGGCGAGTGGGGACTCGGGAGCGAGAGGGGCGCGCTGCAGTCGACGATGCGGGAGAGGCGACATAAAATTTTCAAGAACTGCAGCGGCATTATCTAGCCGTTGGCAAGTGCTTCAGCGCTCCTCGTATCTTCCGAATGGAGATCCCCCGGTGTAACATTGTTCCGGCGCGATTCCGCGAGACCCTGTTAAGTTCGCGCTGTGCGTTTTTACGACGCGTTTAGCGCGCTCGCGTGTCGTACAAATCAAACGTTTAGAATGTAAGTACGAGTTGACTTCGGAATTGGATGTTCATGTTTGTTACGCGCTACTGGAGAAGTGATGTTTGTAGAACAAATCCGTTTGTTTGAAATGTCTTCCCTAATAAAGGATCCCCATATCGTATATATTACGACGAATTTGTGTTACCAGTTTCGAATACAGACCTCTCTATGTTGTTTTAATAAATAAGTGTTTATATTCAAGTTAATTTTTTTATTAACGAAAAACAAAATCAATTTCGCTCTATATTCATTTTATAATTGATTTTCAGGAGTTCCCTAATTATCTCCGGAGCCCAATATCCAATACCAATGAAATTAATATGGGACCACATGAGAAGCACCAAATTTCAAATAAAAAAAGAATCATCAAAATCGATTCACTGAGTACAAAGTTCTGAGGTAACAAACATAAAAAAATATAGTCGAATTGCGAACCTTTCATAAGTATGAACGTTACAAGAGTACAGTTTACTTATTTAGAAAATAAAGTACTACAAATACTGATCAATAGGTATGTATAACTTTAGCATCAAAACGTCGAATCAGACAAGATCAGCAGAATTTAATAGCTGTATTCCACCTCGAATGAGGGATCATTCACGAACTTTGAAATCTAAATAGCGCTAATAAGTTAAGAGGGAATTCAAAAAACGTAATCAAAACATCTTTATAACTCGTATAAACAGAAAGTGAAAAGAGGGATAATGGGGAAGGAAAAAAAAGAACAGGCGAGCGAGTAAATATGGCGACGCGGCGTATTCGAGTGCCGAGACAAATAAGTGGCCGGGTATAGGACACTGCTATGGTGGGGCGATGGTTACTGACAATCTCGTTATAGATGTGAATAAATAATGAGTCGGCGTCGAGCCCGCCTTTCGCACGAGGGGGCAGGGATCCGAGGTGCCTTTGTTGTCGGAGGCTGTTATTGCGCCCGGATTACGCCAGCCGCGAGCTCAATTTATCCCGCTAATCGCGCACCAACCTTGCTCCGAGTGAATTAATTAACTCGCAACTTAATTTCGCATGTTAAGTTTACGGACGAACCAACGTGCAAAGACATAGCCAATTGAATGAGCTGTACCTTATTGTGTTGTTGATTTTTTAAACGTTTTTTTTTAACAGCTTAATGCTTATTATGATGGGAGAGCCACTCGGAATTTTCTGCTGTTGCATGAATGAAGCGTCTCTTCCGGAAAAGTACCAGACCAAACTGTCACAGGCGATCGAAGTGAAGTAGTAATTCCTTCGCATTTCACTATGAAATCACTTATCTGGTTAACCACAAACCGTTTCGGGACCTTCTCCCATTTATGTATTGCACAACAAATATAACATACATATTAGTCTTCATTTAATGACTATTAAATAATACATTCTATAGTCACACGTCGTTGCACTGATAAAGATTAAAGTTTGAATTTCGTTCTAAATGTTGTCCGTGTCCCATTATAGATCGACAGATTAGTTAAAAGGAAGACACTAATAGCGGCATGTTGAGACCAGGTGGATGCGTTCGCAGTTTGTTATGTCCTCGACGCCTGCCAACAATGTTGTTTGTGACACCCGACGGCATCGATCAACCCACCGGCCGATACAATGATCTGTCGTCTGTCGGAATAAAACGAAATAATCGAAGCGCAAAACGGTGACGCGGCAGACTTTATGGCTCCATCGAATCGAGTTTAAATAAGAAGAGTCTAGTCTCTCATTTCTTCTGCTGCCACACATACGTCGGGTAAGCACTGCATGCAACTTATGTCGTTAATAACTTTGGCTAGGTTTCTTTCGACCTGCTTGTAAATGCCAGATCTGGAGTAATTATCTGTGTACCACACAAATACTTGTCCCGTGTGGGAATCGAACTCGTCGATGCCAGTACTAGTAGTAGTAGTAATACTTAAAATAAGTATTTAACAACCGCAATACCGAATCAGAATCAAATTTGTCCAGTACGGCTCTAAATCTGTACAGAATCACGTCTCCTAATTTTAATGACGACGCCATTTGAGCGGCACACGCTAATAAGCGATGCTTCTCAAAGCGGAGCACGAAAACCAAATTTGCATTCGCCTAGCGTTAATATTAACACAACGGAAACGAATAACATTTCCGTTTTAGTGTAACGGGCGGTGCGGGAGGAACGCGCGCGCTGTCGCTTAAACTCTACGCTCTCTGTTTCTCTAACAAAGCGTTGCATAAGAGGATCCGGTCAAAGAGAAAGAGAATGCCGACGCGCGCCGCTTTGTGCGCGAAATTGAATTGAATGTCATACATGACGTATTCCGTGCGCTCAAAGGGAGAGTAATTGCGAGCCGGCGGCTCCCATTTAAAATGTATCCGTGGAAATGTGCGCCGAGCGTGCCGGAGCGAGCCGAGCCTGGTATCGGAACCGTGTCGCAAATCGCGGGCCTGTCCACTCGTAACGCACTCAACTTGGTCCTTTGCCAGCCGACTTGTTAGACGGCGCTCGCAAACTGTTTGGCATCCAAACAATGTTCACGTATAATGGATACGGAAAAATTATATCGTATTTTTCAATATGTCCCCACTGGCGTTTCTAATTTGAGTTATTGCCGTGATGACGGTTTCGGTGTGGGTGAAATTGTGAGTCGATTAATCGTAAAGAAATCATTTTGTCTATCGTATTAAAAATAGAGCACTTACAACGAACACAAAAGTAGCGAAGCACTTAAGATCATCCATCCAGAGAATTTTAATAAGCTTCGAACATAAAAACAACAAAGCGATATTTAAAGCAAACCTCCTTGTAGGAGCCAACAAGTTTGCTAATAAAATAATAACATCGTATATAGCGGGCACAACAAACCAAAAGAGATAAAGAGAGAGCGTAATAAAAACAGTGCAATTTTAGGGGTATTTTGTCGAGGTTATATCCATAAACTGAGCGGTGGAGCGGAGGGTGAGCGGCCACCCCTCGCCCCCTCCGCCAGCCTCGCAGCGGCGGCGGGTAATGAATAAACTCAAACTGGAGATTCTATCTATTTTATTTAATTTCACGATGAAAGTAAACGCGCCATTATTCCACAATGAAAATAGCGATTTGATATCCGATTGCGTTAAGGCTTTTTTTGGTATAACGTTGTTCATTTAAACGATAAGCTCTTTTACATTCGGGGTGTTTCGATTCAGAGTATAAATATGCATGCAAATAAACGTACATATTTAAAGCGAAGTCAGTATGCGGCAGTTAAACAATAATATATTTACATAAAACACCATTAAAATCTGCTATTCTAAATTACAGCTCTTCAAATAAATTAAACACGTAATGGTATTTAGCGACTTTAAATGTTTGCGTGCTTCCGACCGGTTCCGATACTTTCACTTGTCGCGTAATACGTGTTGTGTTGTATTGCTTAATTTTACACATTCATTTTTTGTAT